AGGGACCAAGTCATGAATTTTTAGTGAAGGTGACACACCCCGACCTGGAAAGGTTGAAGCATGCTAGCCATCATCTTGAGGTGACGTAACCATAAGGGTAAGTGATACAAAAATTGAATAAAATTAAAACTAACTAAAACTAATTATACTAAATAGTGAAAGAGTGCGCAATCGTGGGAAAACCCACTATAATTATTCAGAGCGTAATAGACAGTGAGACTACAGAAGAGTAGTCAAAGTAACTAAGTACACTTATTACATAACCCTGATAAGTTCGTACGTCTAAACAGAAGAGAATGTCAGAACTGCCAAGATTCCTTGAGTGCCACAAAGAGTACAGCTATCTAGGTCTTGGAGGGGTGAAAATGAAAGTTGAGTGGGTCAGTAAAACAATGCTTATACGAAATCCTTGATTTTCGAATATACTGACCTCTTGCCGTAAAATAAGTATAGTTTCCTTAAAACATACAATATAGATATGTAAACAATAAATCAACAACATTATAACCGCAAATATGTCAAGTCATGATATCAAATGCCACAATAAAATAATCATATAATAATCAAGTATAACTAAGTGCTCATCCATCTAAGCTGACACACGAGTTCGAACAGATAATTTGAGACATGAACAGGACTGGGTGTAATCAATATGCTCTAGTACTACGATCACGTGAAGACTGGTGTAGAAGCACATCACATACAAGTCAGATTGCTTAATGCAATCTACCAGACAGGACTAGCACCTAACTTGGATCCAAGGCGAGCGAATGATGCGATGTGAACATACACGTGAAGGACTGGCCCTGGCCCTAGGGTGAGTACTAACATCGGGGTGCAGCAAGATGAGCATGTACAAATATGTATGAATGCCATGACAGTAATATCGCAACCGTATAGCAGCATTTATCACAATTAATATCACTATAACGATACTTGGCAAAATTAGCGTAAAAGTGAAGTAAATACGCATTTATGGAAACTATAAATATGTATAGGTATAAAAACAAACTGCCCACTCACAAGTACGTCGTTGGGTCGTAGCCCCCTAGCCTAGCTTGGCCTCGAATGTCCTAGGGGTACGTTTCCCCTATATGTGAAATAACTAAAATAAAATTAATTAAAGCATATATACGAAAATCTAAATAAATCCCCCATAGTTTGCTCAAACCTAGGGTTTAAATATACCATTGTGACCTACTCGACATCACGAACATCTAAATAAAACCCCTCATAGACGCACCCCACGCGCAGGCCAGTGCTTGACGTCTATCAGGAATATTCTATGAAATATTTTGTTAAAAGATAACAGAAGCTAATGGCGTTACCTGACGCCGTTAGGAATATTCCATCAACTCTGATGGAATATTTTGTCTCCTTCTTCGGCGAGCCCTGTCGTCGCCGTCGTTCGTCGGATTTCTAGAAAAATTTCAAATTCATTATTCTCCTTCATTTCTATACCTGTTTGCAGTCCAAAAAGTGGACAGAGGTCCTTGGAAAAAGCCTTGAAAGTACCGGCCAAAAGCGAACTATTCGAAACTCGGTCGTTTCACGTCAACCTTCTTCCAAAGCAAGCCTAGGACCTTCAAAATGATATGTATAAGCCTTCCCAAGTTTCAAAACATCTCAACTCGTTCGAAAACATGTCGAACTCAGTGGGTCCGAGTTCCGACCTCACGAGTTAACGAGTCAAAACTCGTTTAAACTAGGTTTCAAGAACATGGTTGTGATCGTGAAGATGAGGGGAGTACAATGGTGTGGTTTTTGGGTTTGATCTGCGAGCTGTGAAGCTCGTTGAGGGTTTTGCAAAAAAGAAGAAAGTATACGGGAGAAAGAGAAGGAAGAGAGAGAGAGAGAGAGAAAGAGAGAATTATTTTCTTTTGCTTTTTCTGATTGGGGGACAAAAATGAGGGAGAGATAGGATTGGTGAGAGAGTGAAATAATGGAGGAGGGTGCACGGGATGGGCTAGGGAAAAGCTAGGGATAGGGTTTAGATTTTGTACAGAAAAGAGTATCGAAAATCTATCCGGAATAGTATTTTCGTACTGATAATATTTACATACACTCTGATAGGAGCATGTTTATGCGATTGAGTTAACTTGTTCTCATGCATTTATGTTGTTATTTCTTAGTTAATTATGTATTTTAAGCTATTTTCGTGTGTTTGTAGGTCCATAGGCCTTATAAAGCAATAAGGTGCATTTTGGAGACGTTTTGGGCTTGGAATGGATAGCACATGCATGGAGCAAGGTGGATGGACGAAATTGAAGACTAAAGAGGCTTGGAATGTGTTAAAAAGAAAGAAGAATTAATGTAAAAATGGCAAAGAGCTCAGCAACCAAAGAAGAAACATGAGTCAAGATTACCTTATCATCATCCATGTTCCCTCCTTGCACTTAATTGCTACTCTATTCCTTGTTCCCTCCATCATTTCAGATTTCATGCATCATTACTTTGAATCATTTCAACACTACTCCATTTTACCCATGATTTGCATCATTACTTCACTTTCACCTTTGAATCATTTCAGCACCACTCCATTTTACCCATGCTTTGCATCATTACTCCACTTTCACCTTTGAATCATTTCAACACCACTCCATTTTACCCATGCTTTGCCTTGCCCTTCCTCTATAAAAGGAAGTGTGTGTAACATAAATGGAGTCATATTTTTTTTAGATCATTCACTCCCATTTCAATACAACCTTCATCCAAACACATCCATTCATATTTACATCCATTCCTCCATACAAACAAACCTTCAAACACTCACCAACACCTTGTGTCGTAGCAAAGGAAGGAAAGGAAAGTGCTTGGACGTGCATGCTGTCAACTTCGATCGTTTGAGCGTTTAGGTGTTTTCTTTCTTTTGTTTCCAATGTTAAATTCATTTTCTGATTTTGTTGCAATTATGAGTGGCTAAACCCCCATTTAGTTAGGGGGGAAGTTTGAAGCCATGAACATGCTTGAGATATGAATTGATTTCTTCCAATTGTGATTTGATAAGTTGTGATTGCAATTCAATTATCTATTTTATTCATAACTGATTCTTGTATGTTTATTAAGGATGCATACTTAATTTTCATGCATGAATGAGATGCTAGAATATAATGAATTTCACCTAATCGTTACAAGTTTATATTCATGAGTAGTGAAGGTTGTTTATCACAATCGCGTTAATTGAATTCTTGGCAATTGTATCATGCATTCATAGTTATAATTGTCTCGTCAACACTTATGATTTTCATTGAACGTAATGATCTCTGATTGTATCTCTATTATGTATTCATATAGGGGACTTTTAGAGAATGATTTGGATTGTCGCATGCATTCATCCAATTCAATGAGTAAAGGAAAATCTGAGGGTTAATTTGTGCATTACGGTTAATCTGGGGTTTTGAGCATAATAGTTTATTGAAAAGCAATTGGAAATCGATTCATGTACAAGTGTGTCATGTGTGAAGAACGGACCTCTAACTAATCCATCCATCATTTTATTTCTCAAATTCATTTTATAATCTGCCTAGTTTTATAACTTGCTTGTTTATTTCAAATTCATCCAAACCAAAATCCCCTTTTTACTTTCTTGTTTCAAAGTGTTAAATTTCTGTTTTGTTTGTGTTTTTGAGTGTTTTGATTCAAGCCAAAACACTAAATTCGTCCAAAGTTGATTTAGAGTCCAAATCTGCCCAGTTTGTGTTTTTAGGCAGTTTTGAGTGTTTTTAAGTTGTTTTGAATCTTTAGAATCTGTTTTGAGTCCCTTGATTCTATTCAAACGTTTTTAATTTTGTTTTTATGTTTTTGAGTCAGTTTAAAGGTTTTAGCAAACCCTCATAATCCCCGGTTTAGAACGATCCCTACTTGCATTTATACTACAATTTGACAACAAGAGGGTTTAATTTGAGTGCCTAACTTTCATCGCATCACACTCGCAGCATCGTGTACAAATTTAAATGCGATAGCGAGAAATGAAATGAAAGCGATAAGAACACGTCCACGTCACTTGCCAATAAGGGCATAATCGTCAATACACATACTCGGGGAGAAATTACAACGGATAATATCGTGCTACTGTGGAGTCGAGCCCGGGATGTGGTGGGTGCTCGGGTCGGGATGTGACAATTTGGTATCAGAGCCAATTCCTGGCTAGAAGTGTGCCGACGAGGACGTCAAGCCCGTAAGGGGAGTGGATTGTAACATCCCACATCGCCCATGAGAGTGGATCCTCTAAGCCTTATATGTATATTCCCATCTCTACCTAGCACAAGGCCTTTTGGGAACTCACTGGCTTTGAGTTCCATCGGAACTTCGAAGTTAAGCGAGTTTGCGCGAAAGCATTCCCAAGATAGGTGACCCACTGGGAAGTTCTCGTATGAGTTCCCAGAAACAAAACCGTAAGGGCGTGGTCGGGGCCCAAAGCGGACAATATCGTGCTACGGTGGAGTTGAGCCCGAGAAGTGGTTCCACCCGGGCCGGGATGTGACAAAAGGGACCATTACTTCAATTGGATTATAGTTAAAGGACTACTGCTACAATTTTCTCTAAAGCGCATAATTTCCAATCCGACTTCCGCCCCTCGACACAGGTGCCTCCCATGTTGGTGGTGCTGGCACTTTCGGTTGTTTCTGCTTTGGGGGTGGCCGCTGCATTGCTGAGCACATAAAAATTCAAAAGCATCACAATAGAAATTGAAATCCTCGTATTCTGCAACACAAAAAATCTCTATCCGTAAGGGCGTGGTCGGGGCCCAAAGCGGACAATATCGTGCTACGGTGGAGTTGAGCCCGAGAAGTGGTTCCACCCGGGCCGGGATGTGACAGAAGGGACCATTACTTCAATTGGATTATAGTTAAAGGACTACTGCTACAATTTTCTCTAAAGCGCATAATTTCCAATCCGACTTCCGCCCCTCGACACAGGTGCCTCCCATGTTGGTGGTGCTGGCACTTTCGGTTGTTTCTGCTTTGGGGGTGGCCGCTGCATTGCTGAGCACATAAAAATTCAAAAGCATCACAATAGAAATTGAAATCCTCGTATTCTGCAACACAAAAAATCTCTATCCGTATTCCTCTCAGCTTACAGTATAATCAGCTGTGCTTCTAATATTTATCTACAATTTCTCTACTTCCCTTAAATCCTTGTCACTACCCTACTCTCGATTTCTCTTTGTTCTTATACAATTGAAGACGGTGTTCTTCAGCTTAATTCTTCTCTTTCGGCTACGCCAACTAAGTCCACAAGCGAACGATATAGTCGATATAGTCTTTTATCAGGTGTAAGGCCTGCTTTTTCCATCTCATCATACAATTTAAGAGCTTCGTGTGTTCTCCCATTCTTCGACAAACCTGAAATCATAGTTGTATATGTGACAACATTGCGAGTTAAATTCCTCTGAGGCATCTCACGAAATAATTTCAGTGCCTCATCCACCTTGCCGTCAACACATTCGCCATGTATAAGTGTATTCAACGTACGTGTATTAGGCCTCAGGCCTTTGTCTTCCATCTCCTTCTTTAGCTTACGAGCTTTGTTCATGTAACCGTTCTTGCTATACCCGTCAATTAGAGCATTGTATGTGACAGTGTTAGGTCTCTCTCCCTTCCTTTTCATATCATTGAATACCCGTTTTGCTTCGTCTAAGTTTCCTTCCTTGCAGAATATGTCAATCAGAATAGTGAAACACACGGCGTTTGGAGTCACGCCTCTTTCTTCCACTGTGAACAACAAAGCCTTTGCCTCTTCATTTCTGTTCAATTTACACAATCCGCTAGCTACAGTGCTGTACGTAAACACATCAAATTGAAACCCTTTCTTTTCCATGACATCCCGCAGCTTCAGAGCTTCATCCATCATCCCCTTTTTGCAGTACCCGTCCATTAGTGTATGAAACACCACTTGGTTTACGTCAATGCCTTTACTCTGCATCTCATTCACCAAGATGTCCGCCATCTCCATCTGCCCTGCCTTGCACGCACCATTAATCAATACCCCGTAAGTATGCTCATTTGGTGCAAACCCCCTTTGATTACATTCACTGAGCAGAAACAACGCCCTCTCCATATTTCCCGCTTTACAATAGCAATTAATAATCGAGGTATAAACATACAAATCTGGTTCTATCCCTCTCTCAGGCATTTCCTCAAACACCTTTTGAGCACCCTCAATCCTCTCAGAACTACCAAACAAATCAATCAAAAGCGTGGATGTCACCACATTATAACCCACACCATCCTTCTCCATCAACCTCAGAACCTCACTAACGCCCTCAAAATCCTTCCTTCCAATGTATGCTTTCAAAATTGTGTTATATGTAAGAACCGTGATTCGAACACCGTTTTTGACCATTCGATCGAAGAACCTCCAACATGAATCCACCCGACCACATTTCCTCAATGCAAGCAAAAGCACAATGCAGGACCTTTCTCCAATCTCAATCCCATTCCTGCCCACATAATCAAAAACCCCAATAGCCTCCTCAACCATTTTGTTTTCTGCATAAACCCGGAACAGCATATCGCACAATGTCCCAGCAAATTTCATCCCATTAGGCCCCTCCTCAATCAGAGACGCAATTTCGGAAACCGGGCATCGAAGATTATCATTCGTGACAATAACATTCAGTACAATCTTCATCTGGGCAAATTTTCTAGCTTGATAAAGTCTGCAAAGGAGGGTAACGTGGGATTTAAGATTGTGTTTGTGGGATGGATTTTTCTGGAGAAAGTTGAATAATTTTACGCAAGAATGTGGTAGGACGAGTGGGTTTGAGAGGACTAGGTTTGTTATGTGGGGATTGAGACTGGAGAGCAAAGATGATGATGTTGATTTGAGGGGTTGAATGCCTGATTTGATTAGGGTTTTGACAATCTTCTCGGCGGTTTCTTGGTTCGATATGAACGTGGGCTCTGCGGGGAAGACTTTCTTCAACGTTTTGAAGGCTTTATGAGAAGACATTGTTTGTCAAAGCAAACAAGGATAAGAGACGAGGTTTTAAGTCCTGAGGTTTTGGAAAGAAGGGAAGTCAATTTTAGCGGGTAGAAATTAATAATATTTTTTCTAGATAGGTATAAATTAAAATTTAAAAAGCAAAGAAAAAAATTACTACAATATATTTACGCTGAACATGAAAATAAATTCGTATCGAATTTTTTATTTTCGAGAGTTAAATATAAAATCTCTCACTTTGAATGTTAAGAGATATAATAGACCGTAATACTAATTAGTAAATGCAAAAAACAATTAACATCCTAATTTTATTATATTCTCTAAAAATAAAAATAAAACTACAAAAAGGATGTGAGTTACTTCGCAATTGAATTTATAATGATATAAAAAATAAACTAAAAATAAAAAAAAATCATGTTGCATCATTATTACTTTTAAGATTTTGTTATTATTCATTCATCCTTATTTCTTCATCTTTGACCAATTTTCTTTATCATCTTTCTCCCATATACTTTCCTCATTTCTTAAGTACCCAAAGTGAAAAGTGAAAGTAGTTACCAAATGGGCTTGTAGCTTTACGATTTAGTTTTCAATTAAAAAAACAAAAAGAAAACTAAAAACTGAAATGATTATCAAATGAATCCTTAACTTTTTTTTTTTCACTTCACCACCAAAACATGGACGGAACTTGAAACTCAAATTAAGTTGAGTACATCATGTAACACTTGACACACCCTGACCTAGAATGTCCATAAGGACTCCGAATCAAGCTGTGCTGGCTGACACCTGGAAGGTGACGAAGCCATAAAGTGTGATGATGTGGAAAAATATGAATAAATTTGAACCTAAGAGTGCCTAAATACCAGAGTGCACTGTGAGCGGAAATGAACTCATTTCACGTGTGATACAGAGCATAGGTATAGTACAGTAAAGTAAGATAATGGTTATACCATCATAAGAAGACATCTGTACTGAAAAGTGCCACGAATCCTCGTCGATACGGAACTCTGCTGCTAGAACCTGGAGGGGTGCAAAAATAGAAAATGTGAGTGAGTGAAACAAAACTTTTCAACCAATTTCAATTACCAAAGGCAGTAGCCCCTCGCCGCAACACCTATATAATTTCCCAGAAAGTAACAGGCCTAACTATAACTCAAAACCATAACCAAAATAGCAGTCTCACTGTTATGCCGTGTCAAATATCTCAACAAGAATAAGTAATCCATGTGAAATAAATCAATATGAAATGGTATGCCAGCCGGAGTCACTTCACGTGACCTGTACGGCTAAACCAATAGCTCATTAATCATACTAGCCGGAGTCACCGCATGTGACCTTTACGACTTATCCATATCTCGTCAATCAACGCTAGCATATAAGTTGGAGTCACCTATAGTGACCTATATGACTTATCCATAGCTCATCACATATCTCATCACATATACTAGCTCATCACATATGCTAGCTCATAACGTATTTCATCACATATGCTAGCTCATCACATATCTCATCACATATGCTAGCTCATAACATATTTCATCACATATGCTAGCTCATCACATATTTCATCACATATGCTAGCTCATCACATGTCTCATCACATATGCTAGCTCATCACATCACATATCTCATCACATATACTAGCTCATCATATATTTCATCACATATGCTAGCTCATAAGTCGGAGTCACCTCTAATGACCTGTACAACTTATCCATAGCTCAATAAGTATACCTGCACATGAGTCAGAACCACTTAAAGTGGTTTGTACGATAGGACTGGGGACTGGGTGTAAATAAATACGCTTAAGTGTTACGATCACGTGAAGACTGTGCGAATGATTGCGGGTCACCTACGAGTCGGAACCACCTATAGTGGTCTGTACGATAGGACCGTGCACCTACCTTGGATCTAAGGTGAGCGTAAGGTGCGGGAGGTGAACATCACGTGAAGGACTGTGCCCTGGCCATGGGCGAAAGCACTAACACGGGGGCGCAGGTTTATGAGCTCTCACTGTATCTATTGTAACATATACAATTCATAGGCAACCTGTACGACAATGTCGAAGTTGCCTATCATTGCAACCTATATGACAAGGTCGAAGTTGCTTAAACATACATGTAGTCATACCATAACCCCATCATTTCAACTAATACCGTAAACTCACCTGAACTTACCTGGGTGTCATGCATTCACCTTTGCACTTCAAGCGTTCATAATAATTGTGTGTAGGTAATATACATATAGATAAACCATGATGCAATCTGATACTCAACCATATTATAGCATTTTCAATTATATATATATATATATATATATATATATAATATGGCATAAAAATGCATAAGCTGTAACGCCCTACTCTCGACCTATTTATTTTCGGGAATAATTATCGATGATAAGCCCAACTAGACACTAATTTAATTAACTATCATTACTTATGTTTCCTTACTTCAAATTCTTGATTCTTCACACATTGATTTATGACCAACATTTAACTACCAAATCATAAAGTTAAATCTCACATTTTCAACCAATGTCCCTCACATTACTTAATTCCCTAAACAAGGCTATTGTCTCAATTATTTTATGGTTGCATCTAACGTGTCGTTAGACAACCTACGTACCCTAAATAGGGATCAAGCCATTCGTAGTTCACATTAGTACTTCAAATCATTCACAGTAGTTCTATGCAATAATCCATTTATAAACGTTTGTGGAATTGTCAATCATATATATAATATACGATAGAAAGGAAAAGACCCACTCACCTAAGATCTGCGCTACGACTCCCTATCATGCATATCGAGACATCACAAACCATCGTCGCCTGTGACCAATTATCAAATCACATCTCAGAATTCATACCGATAAAATACACAATTTACATAAAACGCATCTCTATGTAATTCAATTCGGAAGATCTGCATCACGAATTTCCGATCTGTTGCTTCCAAAGATCCACACTATACTTCTAGAGCAACATCCTAAAGTTCCATTACGATCCACTTCGGGAAGATCTGTATATCAGATTCCTAATCCGTAAATTCCTATGGTCCTCAAATATTACATATTATAACATATTAAAGTTTGGTGACAATCCAACGGTCAGATCGTCGATTCATGTTTTTACCAAGTAACATATCTTAATGAATTTAGGTCCAAACGATCAACCTACGTTATACAATTACCAAAACTGAACTCAATGCATCTAATTTAGCCTAACAATAATATTGACGGTCCCCGGGTCACGCACCGCCGCGGGTGGTGGTCGGCCGCTCCGACTCATCGGAAAATCCAACTATTTCCAAAAATTCTCAAACTTTACAGAAATGAAGATCTCTCAATGAGTAGAACAACTTTCATACATGCCACGAAATCCAAAAGTGGACGGAAGGTGGTCAATTTTGTCCACAAAGCCGGCGGGTGCCTAAAGCTTCTCAGCGTCGATTCGTCATCTACGGTGGTGCAACGGGGTCAAGCTTGGTTGGGATTTTCTCCTGGGATGATGGGCTACAAAGCCCAAGTGGTGGCATCGGCCATCGCTTTGCCGATTTGCCGGAATATTGAAAAGAGTAACCAGAGCACCGTTGATTTTTTGTCGACTTTCGTGGCCTCAAATCGCTACATACCGTGGTTAATCAAGGTGGTTCTTGGGTGGGTTTTGTAGAGGGGAATGAGAGCTTCAAGATGGTGGTAGTGGAATCGAAAAAGTCCATCGGAGTTGGCCGGAATCAACCTTGGAAGATGGGTGGTCGCAATGGGTGTGGGTACGGTTTTGGGGGAGTTGGGATCTTCTCTCTCTCTCTTCTCCTCAATTTCTGATTGGTTCTCCCTTTCTTTTCCTGATTGGTCCCTTATTTTCTTGCTTAAATCTGATTGGTTACCACTCCCACATGGTGGGAGTTTGAATTAATTTATAACTAAACTTTAAATAACCAATTTCGAACGTTCATAACTATACCGTAATAATCCGGACTTGTAAACGGCTTTTGCCTATGCGTTTGTAGTGATGAGTATTACTTAAATATGCTACAAGAATAGGTTATACATTTCTCTAAACGAGGGCCAACGGAAGTCAAAGTCTTTGCCTCTAGGGCATTTTCGTCAATTCACGCTTTTAAAATTTATAAAAATGTAAAATTTGGGACGGGATGTCACACACTCGAATTAAGTGAGGAGTGTCAATAAAAGTCATTCATATAAAGTCTCCATTTTGTTTTTTGGTTGCATATAAGTCCAACAATTGACAACGCTGAATATATTCTACCATTAGATGATCATCCATTATTTAGGTAGAGTTTATTAGTTGATGATTCATAACCCAAACGTAAAAATCAGGAAACAAAAGCTTAATTATACTCTTAATTAATAAGACTCGGCGGGTAGACTCGATGGTGTAATCACGAAACAAGATAATACATGATCAAACTTCGTTTTTAAACTATCGTCATAACAACCAACTAACGAGCTTCAGTCTCAATCTTAACCACAACTTCAGAATCATCGGTTATATAGTATGCAGAAAGAGGACGGTCACTAAGCATTTCTGTAGAACGATGGAAAAGAGTAATGCGACCACTAGTCACAATCCCCCAGCGCCTACCGATTTTGCTTCTCAAATCGTCCACAGTACATGTTTCTTTTATTCGTACATAGCTGACACTTTGGTTTGGAAACTTGAGCAAAATATTGCATTTTGTAAGACCAGAGGGTGTGACACTGAGCCTCAGCATACCATATCGTTCGCCAACGTGATTTTCAACAATCTCATGATTCTGCAGCTCTATGTTATCAGCCCAAAGGCTTTGCCTATGAACTTTGATATTCAAACGCTCCTCGATCCTCTCCTTCGCTTGAAGAACAGTTGCAGTGGGTGGTACTTCAAACTCTGGTGTGATTTGCCCTCCTGTAATTATTATGAGCACCATGGCCACAAAGAAAAGAACCACCAAATACTTCTTAGTTTTTTTTCTATGTGAATTAACTTCTTATTTTTCCTTAATAGTGATAAATATTTTTGG